TAGGCGTCCAAGACCCTTGCATCCTGATCGATCATCCTTACTATACTGGTTGACTGTAATGTTGCCTTGCTCGTTGTTTGACAGGCCCCCGGATCCAGTCGCTGTCGGGCGGCTAGGTCAGGCCCCCGGAGACCAGGACACAGACAAACCCGGACACGGAAAACCGAGGAAACGGCACCATGACCTGCAACGTCACATTTCTCAGCACCCGTGCCTTTTTGTTTGCTGCACTGCAGGATGCGGGTTGCGTCCTGGGTTTAGGGGGGTCGTCCAGGCTTGTAGGGCCTGTGTCCGGCTGTATTCTGAGAGTGCTGCAGTGCAGTGTCCTGTTCGTGCTGCCGTCTGGAAAAATTGGTTTCGAGGGATGTTTGGTTTCCGGGTCTAGCGTGTCCGGGTTTACGGGGCAAAGAAGGTGGCAGAGAGTATGTACCATTAAGGAATGAAGATGCAGTGGGGACACGTGCCAAGAGAAACCTTGCTTGCCTCCGGGGTGCCCTGGGCCACTCGGGTTTCGACGGTTTTGCCATGCCAAGCGTCGCGCTCCCGCACCCCCAAATCCATGGACGTTCTAGTGCCTCAGGGTTGGGTTTCTTGTGTAAGGTTTCTTGTGGACGGGCCTCCGCTGCAGGGGATCGACTACATAATTGATTTGCCCCATGATTGATCTTCCTTGCCGAATCCACCGGCAATTGAATAATTCGTAGAACTCCCGTAGATCTACGAATGGTCGACGTCTTCTTGTTGAAGGGACGACGTGGAACTCAGTCCTGGGGTACCTCGGCTCTGTCGCCGATCCCCCGGTCGAAGGCTGGGCCGCGCGGCGGAGGCGCTCGCGCCCGCCTCGCCGTCGCCCCTGCCCCCCCCAGGCCCCCCCACCCGGGCGCTCCGCCGATCCCCCCCCCCGCGCCTCCACTCGAGGGGCCGAGGAGCCGAGGGGCCGAGGGGCCGAATCCACTCGAGGGGCCGATCCCTCCCCCCCTCCTCCACTCGAGGGGCCGAGGGGGCCGCTGGCTCCTCGCCCCCTTCCGTACGGGCGGGGCCCCGAGGGCGGGGCCCCAGGGGAAGGACGTGTGCGCACACAGGGGGGGGCGTCCCGCAGCAGGGGCCGCGCCCTCGGGGATCGAAGGGGTTGCCATTTCCCCGGGCCCGCGCCCCGACCAACCCAAGGGCGAGGCCCTGGCGGCGGGGAAGGAAGGGTGCACACATATGGGTGGAGTGTTTCCGCCGCCCCCCCCTCCCCCCCCCCCCTCGCGGGGGCCGAGGTGCCAGCTCCTCGACCCCCCCGGTGGCGAGGCCCTGGTGGCGGGGCCTCAGAGGAGGAAGGTTGCACACGTAAGGCTGCACACACATGGGGCCGACCCCCCCCCCCCTCGAGGGGCCGAGGGGCCAGCTCCTCGACCCCCCGGCGGGGGCGAGGCCCTGGTGGCGGGGCCCCAGAGGAGGAAGGGTGCGCATACACGGGGCGTCCCGACAAGGGTCGGAGGTTGATGGGCCTCCTACCCTGACACGTCGATGAGCGAATTGGCCGTTTTCGGGGCTCGAGATCGTCGAGGGGCGTCGCGGCCGTCATTTTGGCGGGTTCTGGTCAGTCGGTTTCGGTCCTTGGCCTCTTTCACTGAAGGGAGGTTTACTAAGGGGAGGTTTGTCTACCGCCGAAAGGGCCTTGCATTTTGGGATCGAAGGAGTTGCCATCTCTTCCGCGGCGGAAGGGCGGCGGAAGGGTGGCGAAAGTAAAACGAGGTCGCCTCCGCTGGCGGAAGCCCGCGGAAGGCGGCTGAGAGCTGGCGGAAGGCGGCGGAAGTGAAGACTGCACCCCGAAGAGGTGAAAGCGTTTTTGGGTTCAGGGTGTCCGAAATCGCCCATGTACACCCCCCCCGTTCCCCTCACCCTCGCCGTCTGTCCTCTTGCCAGGGCTGCTCAGGCCTTGCTGTGTGTCCCGTCGCATGGCCTTTGGCACAGGCTGAGGAGCCGCAGGGATGGTGGCTCCGGTGGTGTCGGAGGCTTTGGGAACTCTCTGGCCCTCTCGAGATCCCTTTGGGGGAAGAGAAAGAACAAGACAACGACAACAACAACATCAACAACAACAATCATTATACGACTGTTCGCTCGTACTTGCCCGCGTGTCATTCAAAACGATTTCACCACACCCTCGATACATGTTTTTTGTCTTCGATCACACCCCCGTTGGGGGGATTATGTCTCTTTGCGGGGGGCGGCGGGCTTAGACAGGCGGGCAAACCTGAACGGGCGGACAATCCTCCGTGGGCGTACATGTGCCCGCCATTGGAGTTGGTGTGGGCCTTGCAAAAAGGAGGGGGAGAACGAGGGAGAGTGGAAGGAAGGGAGGGGGAGGGACGAAGGAAGAGGGAAACCGCCAGGAGAGAAGGAGCGAAGAGGGGGGCGGCTGATTAGAGGCAGGGAGAGAGAGAGAGAGAAACAACAACTTATAAGATAGGTAGAGAAAGAGAGAGAGGGGAGATATAGAAAGAAAGAGGGAGGGAGGAGGCATGAGAGGGGTGGGAGAAGGGAGGAAGGAGAGGAGGGAGAGGGGATAGGGCAGAGAGGCATAAGGATGAGGGAAAAGAGGGGGGAGAGAGAAGGGAGGACAGGAGGAGGGATGAGGGAGAGCGAGGAGGAACAGGGAGGTAAGAGCGTGAACGTTGGAGGCAGTCCTAGTCCTAGGGAAATCTCGGGCGGGAGCACACGACGGGCGGGCGATCCCCTGACGGGCTGGTCGGGCGGGTGGGACATTCAAGCGGGATGCCTGAGTATGGCGAGAGCGCGATTACTAAGTCAATTGTAGCGGTGTGCTTGGCGCAGAGTGTTTCCTGAGTGTCGAAAGCGCGATGCCTGAATACATTCAATGGAACTCACAGGCGAGAGCGCAATTCTTGAATAACATATGAAGGGCTCTCTGGCGGGAGCAGGGGTCTTGATTAAATTGCGAGGAAATCTTGATTCAATTACGAGGAAGTCTCAAGCGAAAACGCCGTTCCTGAGTAAATTGTTAGGACGTCTCAGATGGGAGCGGGGGTCCTGACTAAATTGCAAGGAAGTCACAGGCGGGAGCAACGATCTTGAGTAAATTGCGAGGAAGTCTAAGGAGCGGGGTCTCTGAGTAAATTTGGAGGAAGTCTCAGGCGGGAGCCGTTGTTGTTATAATATGGGGGGCCAGGGACACAGTTTGAGCACCAAGACTGTCCCTGCCAAGAAACAGGGTGCGAGCGTCGAGGGGCACACTTTGATCGAGAAAAAAGCATGCACCGGTGAGGGGGCATCAACAATAATTATTCTTCATAAGTGAACATTCATCAACAACAACAGCAGCAACAACAACAGCAACATCGACATCAACATCAACACCAACAACAACAGCAACAGCAACAACAACAGCAAGAACAACAACAGCAGCAGCAGCAACAACAACAACAACGACAGCAGCAACAACAACACCAACCACAACAACAAACATCAAGGGCCACCCCAGGGCCTCGAGCCCTCCGAAAGCGGCGGCCGTGGCGGTCACCGACGGGCGCGCGACGCGCCGCCCCGCGCGGGGCGAGGCGCTTGCGGCCCGGCTCGGCGAGGTCGACTCCTTCGGGGACCGGCCGCCGCCGCGGAAGGAGGGAGGAGTGCACGGTTTCCCCCGGGTCCGTAGGCGACCCAACGAGGAGGAGGAGGAGGAGGAGGGAGGAGGAGGAGGAGGAGAGGAGGAGGAGGTGGGAGGAGGCGGAGGAGGAGGAGGCGGCGGAGGAGGAGGAGGAGGTGGAGGAGGAAGGGGGAGGAGTTGGAGGAGGAGGAGGAGGAGGAGGAGGAGGGAGGAGGAGGAGGAGGAGGCGGAGGCGGAGGCGGAGGAGGAGGAGGAGGAGGAGGAGGAGGAGGAGGAGGAGGAGGAGAGGGGGAGGCGGAGGAGGAGGAGGGGGAGGCGAAGGAGGAGGCGGACGGGTCCCCTAAGCCCTTCGGAGAAATCCTCCAGGGAGGAGGAAGGAGAAGGAGGAGGGGGAGGAGCGGGACGAGGAGGAGGTGGCCGCACTTGCTAGTTGGGCTTTGGGGTTGGCGGGGGGGGGGGTCCGGATTTGGGGTAGGGGGGAATACCTTGCCGTCCCCGGCAGATCTAATACTCTATGCCCTATCGGGCTTCTTCACTCTTCAGTGTCTCTACGCACCTCCTGCTCCGCTCAGTGTGCACTCAATGGACTTTACTGATTGTCGCACTCTCTGATTTCTTGCTGCAGCGAAGAGAATGTTACAAGCATGCCACTGAAAGCCCGCTGAACGCAAAAAGACGGAGGGAGAGGAGGTGGAGGAGGAGAACAAAGAGGTGCAGGAGGAGGAGGAGGAGGAGGAGGAAGAGGAAGAAGAGAGCCACGGCCGTCGAACGTAAGCGTCCAGAGGTTTGGAAAAGTCAGGACGGCAAGCTCTTGATGGCCTGGGCCTCACATGGGAAAAAAACACGGCACGAAACGTGTTCGAGAGACTCGCTCAGAGCTCTGGAGCCCCTCGCACAGTCAAAACTCAGGGCGCCGGAGGCCTGGGGAAAAAAAACACACACACACACACACGTGTCTTACAGTCAGACGCTGGAGCAAACACTTTGGGCTCAGGAGGGGCTCTGGCTCTCGCGCCGCTCCTCTGATCTGAGGGCGGGGCCACAGCCTATTCGTGGCCGCCGAGGCTCGCTGCAGCCAGAACAAGCCCCCTCCTTCATTGCTCTTGGCGTCCCTGCTGGTAGCACGATGACTGTACCAGAAGGCTGTGGGCAAGTGGTCTGGCCTCTGGCTCAAGCCGTGCGCCAGCGCCTTACGCCGCGAACCGCCCCCAGCCGCGCCGCGCCGCCGCCTCCTGAGCTCCGACGTGGCGAAAAAAAGGCGGCATCGTAAGAGTGCACGCCCGGAGCCCTAGTCCCCACCTTTCTGCCTTTCTGCGTCACTTTTCGAGCCGCATCGATCCGTGAGGGTCCTCGGGGCCCGAAGCGGAGCACAAACGTCCGGCTCGAAAGCATGGAGTCGCCAGGCTCTCGGGGAGGGCCGCTGGCTCAAGCCCGCGCGCCAGCGCCTTGTAAGCCGCGGACCGCCCCGGCCGCGCCGCGCCGCCGCCGCGCGCTGGTTAACCCCAAAAGGGGGTCCAGCACGAAGGGGTCGGTGCAACAGATTCGGTGCAATCGATTTGTGGGGTCGCAATAGGTTTGGGGTGTGCGGTACATCCTGGGGCGCAAGTGCGTTGCTGGACGTTCGCGTGCTATGCACTCGTTGCCATACGATGCAAGACATTCTTCTGGCGCAATGCATTTGCAGTACACTTGCCCCAGCTCTATTGCACCACCCCCTTTCAGCTGGACCCCCTTTGGTCCCCGAGCGCGCTCCGCTACTCGCAGAGCGCCTGCTCACAAACGTCAGCAAAACCGCGTTCCCTCCGATGTAGAGCACCGCAAAAAAATCCCCCACGGCGGCTCTGGGCCACTTGCGAGCAGTGACTCTTGCGAGCCGTGGAACGCGCTTGCCCATTTTCTTTCACGAGGACCCGCGATCCCAGACCCCCGACGTAATGATTTTTTCATTACGTCGACCCCCAGAGGTCCGGACCCTTTCCCCAGGACCGGCTTCGCATCCTGAGCCGTTGTTTGACGCTCCCGAGGCCCGGCGAGGGCCCCCGGAGGCCGAAAATTAGGAAAAACCTCCCGTCATGATTTTTTCATTACTCGAGGGGGTCTGGGATCGGCGCCCATGCGCGCCGCGGCCGCCCGGGCCGCCGCCGCCCTCGCCGCCGCGCCCGCGCGGGCGCCGGGCGGCGCCGGGCCGCTGCACGGCGCCTGCCGCCCCCGCGGCGGAGCGTCGGGGCGGCTCGCCGCCGACGTCGGCAGCTCGTGGAGCGTCGGGGCGGCGCCCGCCCGAAGGCCGGGAGGAGGAGCGGTCGGAGGATGGGCTCGCTTTCCACCACCAGCACCACAAGTTGGAGGGGGGGGGGGTCCTCCTCCTCCTCCTCCTCCTCCTCCTCCTCCTCCTCCTCCTCCTCTTTCACCTCCTCCTCCTCCACCTCCTTCCCCCCTTCAACTTCTGGTGGTGGTGGTGGAGCACAGGCCCATCAGTCGGAGGGGCTGGGTGTGCACACCACGTCGTTTGGTCGGCCAAGGCGCCGATGAGTTCGGCACCTCAGAATTTGGTGCATATGCGCTCCAGGGTCCCACAGAATTCTGCAGATGGGGCGTCTATGCAGCGAGCTCCTTGGCCGACCAAACGACGTGGTGTATGCATTGGGCCCCTCCCAAGCGGGTAATTATCGTTGAAGAAGAAAAAGGCATAAACATCAACTTTCAACGGGCCGCGCGGATTTCTTGGTGTCCGCCCGAAGGCTGGGATTTCGTTGATCCTATCGCACTTCAGGACCACATCCCAGAAATAGTCGAGCACACCAGTATCGAAGCAGTGTCGAGCGAGCTTCGGTACTCGTGAAGACACGCGAAGACACGCAAGTTTCGGTACTCTCTTGATGCTCCAAACTCTTTCTGGTGATCAAGGCTCATGTAGCTTGGAACATCATAAGGCCGGGAGGAGGAACGGGCAGTAATCGCTGAAGAACAAAAAGACGGCATAAACATAAACTTTCAACGGTCCGCGCGGATGTCTTGGATCGGCGCCTGGGCCGACCCCCCCCCTGGCCGCGCCTCCGGCGCCGCCCCTGGCGCGCTCCGCGCGCCAGCCGCGCGGAGCGCCAACAGTTTATGGTGATGCCGTTCCTTCCTCTAGAGAGGAGGAGGAACAGATAATTATCGGTACCGCTGCTCGTCCTGGAGGGCCCTCGTCACCAAGGCTGGGTCCTCTTCGAGGTGTTGGTCAGAACGCACCCCCGGGACAGGCCTGGGGAGCAGCGGCGTCGGGACCTTGAGGTCCCCCCAAGGCGCCCTGGCTTCCACCATGCTCGCGCCGCCTCGTCAGCGCCCCCCGGCAGCGGCGGCGAAACGGCGGCCCCAGTGGACTGCGGCGGGGCAGGCGGGTCTGGAGCCGCCAAGGCTGGTCAGACGCTGGAGGACGCTCTGCGCGATCAGCTGGCACAGGGCGCCGTGCCGGGCACTCGCAATGAGGACGCGTACGCGCTGGCATTCACCTGCTGCGTCTGTGAGGAGCGAAGCGCCAAGCTGATCTCGAAGCGGGCATACCACCACGGAGTGGTCCTCGTGAGATGTCCGTCCTGCAAGAACAACCACCTCATCGCCGACCAGGAGAGTTTTTTGTCTCCCTCTGGGCCACAACGCGCGTTATGCCCCCTCCCCTCCCCCCCTCCCCCCCCATAACGCAACGCTCCCCCCCTATCAGTGCGTCACCGGCACTGCCGCAGTGCGTCCGGCTCCACAGGCTTAGGGGAGCGCTACATTATTCACCGAACGCGTACCACTACTCGCAAAGTGCCTACTCGTAAGCCTCAGAAAAAAAGCACATGTCTGTATTGATGTTATTGAACGCAGATCACCCGCGGCGTTCCAGGCTATTTGCGATTCGCTACTTTGCGAGCAGTGGAGCGCGCTCGTCTCCACCCCTCCCCCCCATAACGCCCGTCATGGCCGCGAGCAAACAAATCATGCGTCCCAGCTGGGGTGGTTTGACGACAACCCGCAGACCATCGAGACGATCATGAAGGAGAAGGGCGAGGAGGTGCAGCGCCTCGGCCGCTTCAAGCTGGCCGGCGAGGGCGAGGCCTGCAGCGGCCGCACCGTCCAGGTTTAAGTCGGGCATGCCCCTCTGCAGGGGAAATATTCAAGAACATTAGGAAATTGGCCCGGCGAAGGACCCAACCACATGCAGTTGTGAGCACCCTCCTTGTATGCACCTCATTCGGAGGAGCTCCCCATAGGGCCATGAAGTGTGTGAGGGGTGTGCCAAAATTTGTCCGGTGGGCGCATGCGACAGCAGCCACTGGGGCCGTCCGTGGAATTCCCCATGGGGCCTGGAGAGCGTGAGAAGTGTGCCGAAATAGGTGCGGTGGGCGCATGCGAATGCAGCCTCTGGGGCCTTCGGTGGAGCTCCCTATGGGACTACGAAGTGTGTGAGGGATGAGCCGAAGTGGGTTTGCGTGACGCATGCGAGCGGTGGCACTGGGGCCTTCGGTGGAGCTCCCTATGGGGCCGCGAAGCGTGTGAGGGGTGTTCCGAAATAGGTGTGCCTGCCGCGTGCGGGCGGTGGCTCTGGGGCCTTCGGTGGACCTGCCTGTGGGGCCGCGAGAAACGTGTGAGGGATGTGCCGAAATAGGTGTGCGTGACGCATGCGGGTGGTGGCACTGGGGCTGTCGTTGGAGCCTGCTCTGGGGTCACGAAACGTGAGATGGGTGTGCCGAAGTGGGTTTGCGTGACGCATGTGTGCGGTGGCACTGGGGCCGCCTTCGGTGGAGCTCACTGTGGGACCAGGGAACGTGTGAGGGGTGTGCCGACATGGGTGTGCGTGTGTCATGCGGGCGGTGGTTCTGGGGCCTTCGTTGGAGCTGCCTGTGGGGCCACGGAACGTGTGAGGGGTGTGCCGATTGTGCGTGGCGCATGCAGGCGGTGGCATTGGGGCCTTCGGTGGAGCTCCCTGCGGGGCCACGAAGCGTGAATGGGGTGTGCCGACATGGGTGTGCGTGACGCATGCGGACGGTGGCACTGGGGCCTTTGTTGGAGCTCCCCCTGGGGCGACGAAACGTGTGAGGGGTGTGTCAAAATGGGTGTGCGTGACGCATGCGGGCGGTGGCACTGGGGCCTTCGGTGGAGCTCCCCATGGGACTACGAAACGTATGAGGGGTGCGCCGAAATGGGTGTGCGTGCCGCGTGCGGGCGGTGGCACTGGGGCTTTCGGTGGAGCTCCCTATGGGGCAACGAAACGTGCGAGGTGTGCGTGACGCATGCGGGCGGTAGCACTTGGGCCTTCGGTGGTGCCCCCTGTGGGGCCCCGAAGCGCGTGAGGGGTGTCCAAAGTGCGAGGGGTGACGGGAGGAGGGAGGAAGGGTGGGAGGAGGAGGAGAGTATGATAAGAGGAACGCGGGGACCGTCTTCTCAAAACGAGGACCCAACACCACAGAGCGGTTGGGAAATATAGTCTGGTGTCGATGTCCAGTGCTGCTTTGGCACTTAATATATAATTATATATATGTATATATATATATGTGTATATAAAAATATATGTATATGTTTATATATATATATATATGGATATGTATGTGTATAGGTAGATGCAGATGTATATGTATATGTGTATGTATATGTATATGCATATGTAGATGTATACGTATATGTAGATGTATGTTTAATATTTATATAACTATTTCTTCTTCCACAATCCGCCTGTAGGAGGACATGCCAGAACCCAAGCGAGGCCTTCAGCGGCCGCACCGTCCAGGTGGAGGACGCGGATCTGCTAGCCCGGGCCATGGGCGCCAGCGCCGCCAGTACGCCTGGCGCCCCCGTGCCCGTGTTGGTGCCGGACCTGCCCGATGTCGAGGATGTGCGCGCGGCCGCGGCCGCGGCCACGACTGCCAAGGAGAGAGACCAGCGCGAGTGAGTGGCGCAGCTCCAGGCCGCCCAGGCAGGGCGGGAGCAGGCGGTGCGTCGGAGGGTCGCCGCGCGGCGGCTTGATCCAGAGCCCAGCGTGCTCGATTCCGCCGTCGCGAGGCCGCGCTGCCTAGCGCACCTCTCTGCTCCGGCCTGGGGTTTGGGCGGCCGCTCCGCAGCACGCGCCAGTTGGCCCAGTTTCTCCTCTGCCGCCTCCGCGCCCCCGCGACGAACAGCATCCCGAGGGATGAGCGGACGGAGCGCGTGGGGCAAGAAGGTCATGTTAAGCCGGGCGCGTCCCTCTACAGGAGGAATGTCCAGAAATAGTCAAACAATAGTTTGGGTACGATTTGTTTTTTTTTGTTCTGCTCCTTTTTAGCATGTTGTGACGATTGTTGATTTTTCATCCAAGATCGGCCTGTAGGAGGACATGCCCGACCTAAAGGTAGTGCGGCGGGCATTTTCAGCGAGCATCGTGCTCTCAGCCGGCCGCCCGGATGGAGGCATGCATGCATGCAGCAGCAGCCCGTGCGAAGTGCAGACCGCCGTGGTCGCAGAAGCGGGCGCTGGAAGAAGCCGCCGCGCGGCACGTCCCCAGACATGCTCGCGTCGCAGAGAATCAGGACGGGAGGGTTTTGACTGCATAGTTTCGGCCCTGGGGGGCCCTCGCCGGGCCTCGGGACCGTCAAATGAGGCTGGCGAAGGACCCAACCGTGTGCAGTTGTGAGTACTGCCGTTGTGTGCGCCGCATGCGGAGGAGCTCCCGATAGGGCCGCCAAGCGTGTGAGGGGTGTGCCGAGATTTGTCTGGTGGGTGCATGCGAGAGCAGCCCGTGAGGCTGTCAGTGGAATTCCCGATGGGGCCACAAACCGCGTGAAAAGTGTGCCGAAATACGTGCGGTGGGCGCATGCGAACGCAGCCATTAGGGCCGTCGGTGGAGCTCGCTACGGTGCCGCGAAGCGTGTAATGGGTGTGCCGAAATGGGTGCGGTGGGCGCATGCGAACGAAGCCATTGGCGCCTTCGGTGAAGCTCCCTGTGGGGCCGCGAAACGTGTGAGGGGTGTGCCGACATGTGTGTGTGTGTGTGTCTGTGTCTGTGTCTGTGTCTGTGTCTGTGTCTGTGTCTGTGTCTGTGTCTGTGTCTGTGTCTGTGTGTGTGTGTGTGTGTCTGTGTGTGTGTGTCTGTGTGTGTGTGTCTGTGTGTGTATCTGTGTGTGTGTGTCTGTGTGTGTGTCTGTGTCTGTGTCTGTGTCTGTGTCTGTGTATGTGTGTGTGTGTCTGTGTGTGTGTGTCTGTGTGTGTCTGTGTGTGTGTTTCTGTGTGTGTGTGTCTGTGTGTGTGTCTGTGTGTGTGTGTCAATGTGTGTGTCTGTGTGTATCTGAGTGTGTCTGTGTGTGTCTGTGTGTGTGTCTGTGTGTCTGTGTGTCTGTGTGTTTGTGTGTCTCTGTGTCTGTGTGTCTGTGTGTCTGTGTGTGTGCGTGACGCATGCGGGCGGTGGCACTGGGGCCTTCGGTCGAGCTCCCTATAGGGCCACGAAGCGTGAAAGGGGTGTGCCGACATGGGTGTGCGTGGCGCATGCGACCGGTGGCACTGGGGCCTTCGATGGAGCTCCCTGTGGGGCCACGAAACGTGTGAGGGGTGTGCCGAAAGGGGTGTGCGTGACGCATGCGGGCGGCGGCACTGGGGCCTTCGGTGGAGCTCCCTGTGTGGCCACGACACGTGATGGGTGTGCCGACATGGGTGTGCGTGGCGCATGCGGTGGCACTTGGGCCTTCGGTGGAGCTCCCTACGGGGCCATAACACGTGTTGGGGGTATGCCGAATTCGGTGCACGAAACGTGTGAAGCGGTGTGCCGACATGGGTGTGCGTGACGCATGCGAGCGGTGACACTGGGGCCTTCGGTGGAGCTCCCTGTGGGGCCACGAAACGTGTGAGGGGTGTGCCGAAAGGGGTGTGCGTGACGCATGCGGGCGGTGGCACTGGGGCCTTCGGTGGAGCTCCCTATGGGGCCACGAACCGCGTGAGAAGTGTGCCGACATGGGGGGATCGTGACGCATGCGGGCGGTGGCACTGGGGCCTTCGGTGGAGCTCCCTATGGGGCCACGAAACGTGTGAGGGATGCGCCGACTTGGGGGTGCGTGACGCATGCGGGCGGTGGCACTGTAGCCGTCGGTGGAACTCCCTGTGGGGCCACGGTGCGCGAAAGGGGTGTGCCGACATGGGTGTGCGTGACGCATGCGGGCGGTGGCGCTAGTGCCTTCAGTGGAGCTCCCTGTGGGGCCACGGAACGTGTGAGGGGTGTGCCGAAATTGGTGTGCGTGACGCAGGCGGGCGGTAGCACGGGGGCCTTCGGTGGAGCTCCCTACGGGGCCACGAAAGTTTGTACTGGGTGTGTGAAACGCAGGGAGGAGGTAGGAGGGGTAGGAGGGAGGGGGAAGGAAGGAGGGAGGGAAGGAGGGAACGCGGCGACAGTCTCTTCAAGACGAGGACCCAACACCATGGGATGGTTGGGACAAACGACTCAGGGCGAAAAGCCGGTCTCGGGGAAAGAGTTGGGATTTCCACGGGCGCCGTCCTGAATTAGCTTCGCGAAGGACCCAACCACATGCAATTGTGAGCACCGTCGCTGTATGCACCGCATGTGGAGGAGCTCCCTATAGGGCCACGCAACGTGCGAGGGGTGTGCCAAAATTTGTCTGGTGGGCGCATGCGGGCGAAGCCATGACGCCTTCGGTGGAGTTCCTGGTGGGGCCCCGAAACGTCAGAGGGGTGTGTCGAAATGGATGTGCGTGACGCATGCGGGCGGTGGCACTGGGGCCTTCGGTGGAGCTCCCTGTGGGGCCACGCAACGTGTGAGGGGTATGCCGAAATGGGTATGCGTGACGCATGCGGGCGGTTTGGGACTGGGGCCTTCGGTGGAGCTCCCTACGGGGCCACGCAACGTGTGAGGGAGGGGTGTGCTGAAGTGCGCGTGCGTATCGCATGCGGTGGCACTGGGGCCTTCTGTGGAGCTCCCTGTGGGGCCACGAAACGTGTGAGGGGTGTGCCGAAAGGGGTGTGCGTGACGCATGCGGGCGGTGGCACTG